TAATATAATAATAAGAATAGTAATAAGAAAAAATAGAAAAAAATACTTATATTATCTACATCATGACACATATGCTGACGGTAATTTATGGTAACAAAAGGAGTAGAAAGCGTCATTATATGTGATGATTTTATGTGCGAACTCTCAACAAATCGTGTCCTTGATAATTTCAACGCATGACTACCCAAGATAGATACGACTAACCCTTTGCACTCTAAGTAATTTTTAATAAGACCTTTTAGCAACTCTAAGTTGTTTTTACAATAAGCTACCAGCTACTTTAGGTGTATTGATTAGAATAAGCAGATGTCGAAATATCTCTCTATATGTATAAAAATACAAAGTTATTTATAATTGCCGCCGCAGCGACGACAATGGAGTGGAGAAGAAAACAACATATCATGAAAAGTAGGTTTTCACCTGCTATCATAGTCTTATTATCTTATGGTCGTTATGTATATTTTTCAATATTATTTCTTCACTACGATAAGTCCAAGCTGATTGCCTTTATTGTTATAATATAAAATGTAATAAATAATATTTAGATGTATATAAATAATATTAAAGTTTATTTTTATTATTATTATTAATAGTATTATTAGTATTAGTATTATTATATTATATTTTATTATATTATATTATATTATATTATATAATTATTCTTATCAGTAGTAGTAGTGATAATTGAAGCAGGATAGAGTAGACTAATACAACAGAAAAAACCATATAAAAAATAGTGTTGGGAGTTCTACCTGATAGTGTGGAAATGAAATTATGTTTTAATTTGTATAAAAATAATATAATATATAAGTATTCATTAATTATTTTTAAGAAAATATTCGACAAATTCTTATTTTTTATTGCAGATTTGTATAATTCTTAAATGTTAATTATATTTATTATTTTCTATGGATTTATCATGAAATAATTTGAAAAAGTTACGACTACATCGTATCTAACACGAACTACTGCGAGATAAACGGTCCCATCAAAGAAATGTATACACATAAGAGCATGAAAAGTGGAACTTCACATTTTACTTCCTAACGCAACTATCTATGATCCAACGAAACCAATTATTATGCATGCGTGAGAGGGGAATAACTAACCCGATACGATAGATGCACGGTGGCGATAGACACCGTTGCTTGTATCCTAGTTCATATTTTGGCCATACTTGTCGCTAAGATCGCACACAATTAGTGCAAAAGGTAGTTAACGTAAAATTCAATTAATAGTTTAAGTATTGGCAATACCAAAGGTCAATTTGTAATTTATTTTATTTTATAAAAATAACAATGACGTTGTAGTTAACCAATGCTTTGGCGCAATAGTCGCAATTATGGCGATTTCGTTGCGAATGTAACGCGTTCTCTCGCAATACATATAACTAACCGCCTCAGCGCCAGTAAATGTACACGTGGGAAAATAACCAAACAAAGTGAGAAATAACAAAGATGCCGAAAACAAAGTAAACGATAAAGATGCCGGGAACACAAAAGAAATCATTTATTCTTTCATGGACTCTTCTAGAAGTCAAAGTCGTAGCTGCTGGAAGACACAGTCTGATTATACCTATTGTATATCGAACAAAGCTAAATACTACTATTGTTATTTGATGTGCAAAGTTTCTGCGCGTAAACTATAAATGACATTTCTTATAATTAGATCGAACATTAGATTGGATTAGGGCTGTATATGAATAAGGTATAATTTACTTATACATTTTTATGTAAAGAATTCAAAAAGTACACAATAAGTTAATATGATATCCACGAATGTAATCATAGTGACTTCTTATCCTTCGAAAAAATGACTTGCGCGAATGTCACTATCGTGGCGTACCTTTCAAAAAGATAATATGCGAAAGCCATTATAATGGCATTTACTAGCTAAAATGTTAAAAGATCACATGCGATAGGTACGGCGTAGAACGAACCAGTTGCGAGAATGTTTTCACTTGAGCGTTAACGAAGCTGTGTTTATTTGGTTTGAATAACAAGTACCCATCGTCACGGAAAAGTTACAAAGAATGCCCAAAGTGGATAAGGTAAAATGATTATTATTCATTAGAATATTTTATTTTATAATTATAAATTATAGTATACACAACTTATAATTGTAATATTTATTCATAATTAAAATTTTTTTAGGTGAAAAACAAAACACCCGAGAAAATTTAAATCATAGCAAAACAGCTATTAAGAGAAAGAAAGAAAAAAATCTTTATGCAATAATGTTAAACCTATCTATACTTTTACATAGAGAACAATTCATTTGTAAGTATTCCCTTTTAGCCACCTAAGCAGAAAATATAAAATCTCCATAAATTGGCTGATTATCAATATGGAAAATGAAATATCTATGACTACAATATGTGTACAACACATGTATACAAAAAATAGTACATTTTATAGCTTAGTTGTATTAGAAATATTTCAAGGTTTTATATGTCCAATTTATTTTAAATCTGTATATGAACGTGCGCTAGATGTTGATCATAGAAACATTACATTATGGCTATATTATATTGAATTAGAAATGCGCAATAATTATGCCAGAAATTTATTAGATCGTGCAGTCACAATTTTACATACAACAAATCAATTTTGATATAAATACACATATATGAAAGAAATGTTAGAAAATATTACTTGTAAGATTTGAAATAAAATTAGGGATTATTTTTTTTATCTAACTTGATTTTATAGAGATTTATTATATAAATACGTCTAATTTTTGAGAGATGGATGGATTGGAGACCTGACTAACAGCCATGGCAAACATATATTAAATTTGAATTACGATATAAAGAAATAGAAAGAGTTAGGTAGAGATATATAATTGTATAGGGAGATATATAGTTTTGTAATAAATGTAGGACGCAAAGTTTATGAAGATGTTATAAACTTTTTCGAAGATGAGATCTTAGATGCAAAGCTATTTATAGCATTCGCAAGATTTGAAGGACAGAAAGAAGTATTAGTTTAAGATAACAATATATTCAGTATCTCTGTTATAATAAGTATAATATTAATATTTCTCTGATAGCATGATACAGCAAGAATAATTTCTAAGTATGCTTTAGACAATTTTTCAAAAGAAAGAACAAAAGAAATATATAATGCATATACCATACACGAAAAGAAATATGGTGATTTTGCAAGTAATTCATACTATAAAGATTAAGATTTATTTAATACGAAATATGAATTAAAAAGTTTTAAGTATTAATATTAATTTGTATAAGTTTATAAAAAAATAACACAAATTTCATAACATTTTTAAATAGGCATTGAAGATGTAATAATTAGCAAAAGAAAATATCAGTATGAGCAAGAAGTCAAGGAAAATTCTTCTAACTATGATGCTTGGTTTGACTATCTGAGATTAGTAAAATCTGAAGAAAATCATAATGTCGTAAGAATGTATGAACGAGCTATAGCAAATCTCCTTTCTAATAAGGTAATGAATATTTATATTTTAACAATTCTGAAGTCAAATTGAAGTTCCTTTCCATTAAATAAATTTTTTATAGGAGCATGGAAACGATATATCTATCTGTACATAAATTATGCTTTGTATGAAGAAATTGACATAGATAGAGATTATAGATAGAAATATACAGGTATATAATAAAATTATTGTTATATATGGAGAGATAACTTTATATTAGGTTGGTGCGTATGAAATGTCGGATTTTCTTTAAATGTGAACGTTTGTTTCCCTGTTTTTGTTATGCTTTTGTTTTTTACATAACCTGGTTTATAGTCGTACTGTCCATTGCCAGAGTCACATTTTAGCAAAGAAGATTTTTTCAAAAGTGTTCCCTTTTGTTATTTGCTTTGAATTTTGGACCGATATGAATTCAACCGATATTCGTGTAATTTTCTTATATAAAACTTGGTAATAATGCTGCAAAAGCTGTACGCAATATAAACCAGGCGTTTGGGGAGAATACTGTGAACGATCGAAAAGTGCAGCGTTGGTTTAAAAAATTTCGGTCTGGTGATTTTTCCCTGCAAAATGAACCGCGTGGAAGGCTCGAAACGTCTGTGAAAAATGATGCTCTGAAAGCAGTGGTGGAATCCAACTGTTTCTTCAAGGGAACTTGCTGCCAGAATGGAAGTTAACCATACAACAATATTGCGACATCTTTCTGAAATTGGCATGGTGAAAAAAATGGATAAGTGGATACCGCACGAATTAACCGAGCGAAATAAGCTGGATCGCTTGAACGTATGCTCATCATTGCTAACCCGATTTAATCGAGATCCATTTTTCGATTGGATCATTACTTGTGATGAAAAATGGGTTCTTTATGACAATAGGCAAAGGTGTACTCGGTGTCTTGATAGGAATGAGGCTTGTGCTCATACTCCACGGCCATCACTTCATTCACGGAAAATTTTAATCACAGTTTGGTGGAATGTGACTGGAGTAATACACTACTCATTCCTTCGAACTGAAATAACAATTACAGCCGAAAAGTATTGCCAGTACATTGAAGAAATGCATGAAAAATTGAAAATTTTACGCCCATCACTTATTAATCGGCATGGCCCAATATTTCTCCACGACAACGCTCGGCCGCATACATTGTACAAAACAATTGAAAAATTAAATGAATTAAAATATGATATTTTGCAGCACCCACCTTATTCACCGGATCTTTCACCAACCGACTTTCATTTATTTAAACATTTAGAACTGTTTTTACGGACTAAACACTACGAAAATGAAGACAGTCTGATAAATGCCATATCAGAGTTCATTGATTCTAAAGATCAGAATTTCTTGAAGACAGGCATCTATGCATTAAAATCTCGTTGAGAAAAGTGTATTGAAGTAAATGGAGCATATTTTGATTAAATAAACAGCTTTTGGAAAAAGATATGCAGTTTAATATATTCACTTAAGAATCCGACATTTCATTCGTACCAACCTAATAATACTTTATTGCATATAAAGATAGAATTTTATATTTTTTTATTTTTTAGAATCTGTTTAGATCTTATTCTACATAAACATTTCACATTTTCTAAGATATGGCTATGTTATGGATATTTCGAAATGCAACAAAAAAATTTGACTGTAGCGAGAAAAACATTAGTATGCTATTATTATAATAATTTTTTTTTATTATTTATATGTATTAAATTTTTGTATTTTTAAATATTTAATTTAATTTATTTTAAGTATGGTATTGGATGTGTATCCCAAAGACAAATTGTTCCGTGGTTACAATGATTTAGAGGTACAATCTAGAAAATTTGACAGATGCAGGATTCTGTATGAAAAATTATTTGAATTTGCACTTCAAAACTGCACAATGTGAATGAAAGTAAATTACTTTTCTTATAGTTACATTTATCTTATGTTTTATTGTAGTTATATTTATTTAATTGTTATGATGTCTATAAAGTTTCTAAAAGAATTAGAAACTTTATTAGGAGACTGACCGTCCTAAAGCTATTTATGAATTAGCTGTATCTTAGACGAATTAAGTTATATTTTTATAAATTACTACTAAATGTAATTAAAGCTGTTTTTTTCTTTTATTTTTATCTTTTATGAAAAACATGTTTAATATTTTTGTTATTTTTATTATTTAGTTTGGATATACCTGAACTTTTATGGAAGTCATATATAGATTTTAAAATATCTCAGGATGAAACAGAAAATACCAGATAAAAAAAAAAAACTTTAACTATGATCACTTCGATTATTTAGTGCAATTAACGATCGGCAACTATTTTTGATATATGCTTGATTATTAGGTTTGGAATATTTTACTTTAAATGCGACAATAAACATGCGAAATAACCTGCAAGTAATGATCTTCAAATCATTTTAAAACAATCTTTATACATTTCCAAGAAAAATATAATTTCGATAATAATCAATAATCATATTTGATTTTGAAACTTTTTCTATGATTACAATTCGCTTATCTTCCCAAATTAGCAGCAAATAATTTTTTTCTTTTTTGTCATTAAAGTAAAATGGATGCGTTTAGAATAAAATAAAAAAAAAGATTAACTAAGATGTGAATGAAGAGTATACGAAATTTAGAGACACAATTGAGTGGTCGAAAAGTAAAGTTAATAAGGAATAAAATAGTCAATGTAATGCCTGATAAACAGATTTAGAGTGATAAAGGTTAAATTAAAATAAAGCAAATTATATTTGTGATATTGTAATATTTTTTACTTCATTTTAAAATATATTCAGGTGATACCATTATGTATGAAAAATAATAACGGTCGTGTTATGCGCAACCCTGACGCAACCTTGGCTGTGTATGATCACATGCATTCTCTTGGTCTAATTTTCAATTACATTCTCATACAAATAGGACTCAATTTCATCAATAACACGAGTGATATTGGCCTCTCATCAATCGTCAAGTGACTTACTGGCTGAAAAATTCAAAAAATTCGTTATTTTGCGAAGTGATCACATTATTTGCTAATCAAAATTATGTAATTTGGCTATTTTTTATGAAGCTATATTAAATCTATGCCAACAAATTGCAAACGATAGACAAGTTAAGAGGTAATATTATTAAAAAGAAGACGGATGAACAAAAAGACTGTTCTATCTTATTCACTTTATACGTTGTTAAATGAAAGCTACGTTTGCATTTATACATTTTACAATGTTTATTTAAATTTATACTTTAAAGAGAATTTTAAAAAGTAATTTATATTATTTTACCATATTTCTCCAGTTTTTGTTTTATGAAGTTAATTGGCAAGTGAGTAGTTCTTATAATAACTGCAAATAATAATGCAAATATACTCAAAATTATTCGTTTTATTGACAAAGAACAAATAGGTCTACGTTAAATCTAGTCAACGTTACAGACAATAGCTTCAATTCAAATAATAATAATGATTCATACTTCGTTAATTTTATCATATTGTTCTTCTTGTCAAAAATAATGCGTTATAATAATAAACTGGTGAAAATATTATTTAGAAGAAGCTCATTGATACACTTATATCTACTTGCAAAAAGTATTACAATTCTTCGTTTTCCCTCATATTGCTATTATTATCAAATACATATAATAATAAACTAGTTATTGCACTACATTATTTTGAAGAAATTAATAGATATATTTATTTGATATTGTAAAATATAAGTTTTCCTGTCGAAGCGACGAATTTTCTGTTAGTTTTAAGACTATAGATTCAAATCTATGTAGATGTACAACCTACGTTAGTTTGATTATATACAATAAATACAAAAATATTTATAGTATTATTACAAGATATATAAACAGATGTTTAAAAATTTACTTATAAAAAGATATTTACAAATATTCGTACGTTATGTGTTAATATATGTTTAGATCTTTATTTGATAATTTATGTGCTCCATTCGAATTTATACTACTAATGAGTCACGTAATGTAAATTAATTTCCGTTGCAAAAATATTCTCTAATCACGCAAGTGATGATGACCATAAACATGAGACGGTGCGTTAACAATATTTTTTCACAATCTTTCCACGATGTAGGATCACATCTTCTTAGCCCTATATGTCATTGTAATCTATTTGGTACAAGCAATTCTTTTTACTCCTCAGAAGCATTTACAAACAATTCACATACTGTATCACGAAATAAAGAGAACAGGCTTTCATGTATTGGTGTGAAAATTATTCTTGAAGATTATCAGATAATGGCAAGAAACGATTGAACACAAAGTTGTTTGTCCAATATCGTTCAAGATGTATGACTTCAGTGATAATGCGAAAGAAAGAACAAAATGCGCCTTAAAAAAACTGACATTTCTCCCGAATCATCGAATCGGTATGTACGTTTGTGTAATAAGTACGGCGCGCAAAACTGATAATGAAACATCAATGTATATTTCCTAATTTTTATAGAACAACTAGTTTAAAGAATTACGGAATACGTATTGCGTAAAAGAAACGAAATGTGCGATAGACGTTGTAGATAGATGTTGGGATTTTTTTCATCCTTGATAAACGTTACGTGCATCATTTTTTGTATCTGTCTGAAACAATTCATTATAATAATAAAGTGGTGATAATATTATTTAAAAGAAATTACTAGATATATTTACATTATATTCCAAAAAGTATTGTAAATCTTGCTCCTTCGTTGATTTTTCCATATTGTTCTTGTTACCTAAAACAATGCGTTATAATAATAAACTGGTAATAACATTATTTAAAAGATAATATATATATTTACATCATGTTATAAAAAGTATTGCAGTTCTTCGTCCTTCTTTCATTTATCTGATCATATTGCTCTTACTGTTTAAAACAATGCATTATAATAATAAATTGGTGATAATATTATTTATTGTAAATATCATTATAAGGATTCGATGGAAATAATAATGAATTTCTAAATATATATTATAATTAAATAGTTATTGTGTATATATACAATCAAATAAAATATTTTTGAATAAAAACAGAATATGTATGGTCAAATAAAAAATAGCACACTGTACCCAAAGTGGTCTAAAAGAAGTAACATGCAAGAGGACTACAGAAACGTATTCGTTATATAAACATTTCATTATATAAAATAATAATTCTCATAGATTATAATTAAATTAATGAGATTATATATTTGTTTAAAAGAATAATTTTTTAAAACTCTATTGCTTGATTTTTCCAAGTAACGTGATGAGTTAAAATTAGATGTAATTCATATACGTTATTTTCTCGATATAGGATGGCGAAACAAGCATATCTGCATGAAATCTATGCTCCATGTTGCAATGGTTTACAGCATGTATTCTCCTGATTGCAATTTATGTTTGATTGTAATTCGAAAGATGAATTCGAAAGATGAAGATTTTCTACACGATATTCTCGTTTCCGATTTTCAAAACAAGTTTTTATATGCTTGAAAATTACTTTTGCAAATTATTTTTTTCTGGATGATTTTTGCAAAGAAGATGATATTTTTCCAATATCGTACATAAAAATCTCATGTAAAAAAACTTTATCTTTTGAATGAGGTCTTAAAACTTCATAGTGTAAATTTTTGCAAACACACAGAGAGAGAATTTTTTTAAGGCTATTCATCATCTTTCATTCGAAGTAGGTGTGAATTCGATGATTGATATGGTACATATAAATATCTTTCTTTGATAGGGTCGTACAACACACGACCCACATCTATTTTACGATAAATACATAAATAATAATAAATATAATTAGAATAATAATTATAATAAGTAGTATATAAATTTACGATATAAAAACAAGATTTTATCCAATATTTTGTAAAAAATAATAATTAGTGAATATTTAAATATTAAATATTATTGCAGAAATCAAAATATGAGTTCATTTCCATACTACTTATGAGGTAAAACTCTTAGCGCTTTTCTTAAATGGTTTACCCCATAGGACTAATCCATTCTGTACTACAAGTATTACTATTATTACTACAACAAATAACAATGTAACATAATAATAGTAATAAAAACATATTTGAATATTATGTACATTATATACATTCTACCTTTTAATAGAAAAATCATTGGTGACATGGTACTATTTGGATATCTAGGATAAACTTTTATAAGTACATTGTATTTTTAAAATACACGTTGGAAGAATACGAGTTTTACAGGAATAAACGATTTCAGGCAGAGGGTACTTGTCATGAAAAATCGTAAGCTTCCTTCTATTCTTCCTGATTGAAAGCGGTAATTTCTTTCAATCTTATCATTCCTTTTAATGTTCAAATAAAATAATACTACTTGATATGTATTGCGTCGTGTAGGCGCTGCAACTACATTTTGCTGCAACTACCTAGAACTTGTTGATCGTCTGGCATCCGGTTATAAAGGATAGGCGACCTCGTGAGGCGTCAGCTTCCTTCCTTTACGTGTTAATTGGCTTCTCCTTACGCTTCTCACAGAATCAGTGTCTCCAGAATCAGGTTCGAAGTACTAAAATGTTTAGTGTTGTGTCGGGTGGGCGCAACTACGAGAGCGATTTTAGATGTGCGTCCCGCACCGGACCATCTATGACAGTCGATTTGCACGGAGAAATATCCTCCGTCTGTCCGAGCTACAAGCCCACTGGTCGCGATGAATAAGAGCGGCGGCACTAAGCTAGGATACCATTGAAGGGTGTCAGAAAAATACCGCTTGTCGCATTCCCGCAGATTAATGGAAATTAATGGCGTTCTTTTAAAGGAACATGTGAAACTAGCGAGGTAGATGCGCGTGTTGAAGTTGATTCGATATATATTTGATGAAATAAGTTACAATTGTTTATGTGTTTCGTGTAATGATGTGTAGGTAGTTGTACTGGCTGATTCTG